CCATTCTACGACTTTTGGGTTTTCTTATGTGTACTGTAGTTTTATTGTGTGAGCTTATCTTTCAGTGGGAGCTTCAGTTATGCTCTGGGTTTAGAGGGGTTCTCATGAGATGGTTTTGTTTATACGGTTCCAGGCAAGCTTCTTAGTGTTCTTTTTTGTACCAGGGATCAAACTTGGGACCTTGCACTGGTGAGACAGTTGGTGGAACCACTGAGCTAAATCCCTGGCCCCTCTTACTGGTTTCTTGACATGGCATGCTATGTGCCATGCCAATTTTGGTGGTTTATCTGTGCCTGAAGGTCTTTGGAGGTTTTTTGCACATGGATGACTCAAAGGCTAGCAACAATTTTGGGCTATAGGGTACCTAGAGCCTGCTTTCATAGCTTTGTTTTTTGTTTTTGTTTGTTTTTTGAGACAGGGTCTCACTATGTAGTTGAGTCTGACCTGGAATTCACTATGTAGCCCAGATGGTCTTGAACTCACAGCATCCTCCTGCCTCAGCCTCCTGAGTTCTGGGATTACAGGCATGCACCATCACACCTGGCTGTGCTTTCATCTTTTAAACTTCATTTCTCTTTTCACAGTTATTAAGGTGATTGGTAACTCCTGTGGCCACTTGAATCTGTGCTTACTGCTTGGGCTTTAAAAGAGCTCTTTCTTTGTTTTGGCATTGCAGAATTTGTTTCCAGGTTTACTTGGCTTTTTAAGGGGTATTTTTGGTGTTTTTTGTTTTTGGTACCGGAGATTGAACTTGGGCCCTTGTGCTTGCAAGGCAGGCAGCCGCACCCCTGAGCTAAATCCCCAGCCCCCTTTTTGTTTTTTGAGACAAGGTCTCACTGTGTAGCCCAGGCTTGCCTCGAATTTGTTGTGATCCTTCTCCCTCAGCCTTCCAAGTGCTGGAATTATAGAAGCGTTCCACCACCCTCAGCATATATATATATCTATCTATATCTATCTATATCTATCTATATCTATCTATATATAGATAGATATAGATAGATATAGATAGATATAGATAGATATATATCTATATATATATAATTTTTTTTCGGGGGGTGGTTACCGGGGATTGAACTCAGGTCCCTGCACTTGCAAGGCAAGCGGTGGAACCACTGAGCTAAATGAGCTAAATCTCCAGCCCACGGCCTATATATTTTTAAAAATACACTTTAATTTGCTGTATTTTAGTCATTTTACGTGTTTGAATGGGAGTTGTCATCTGGTCTTTCTCTAACTGCTCAGTCATCCATCTTTAGTTGAAGTCTACCAGCCAACAATTTATTGAAATTAAATTTCTGTTAACCTAATGGTGTGAAGATACTAGTTTGTAGACTTGTGCACTTCAGTATATTTTATTTTTTATGTGGTGCTAGGGATCAAATCTGGGGCCTTGGGTATGTTAGGCAAGCTCTTCTTTACTTTGTGTATGTTTGTTTGTTGTTTGCTGTACTGGGGGTTGAACCCATGATTTTCACACTGAGCTATAGTCCCAGCTCTTTTTATTTATTATTTTTTTATTTTTGAAACAAGGTTTTGCTAAATTGTTGAGCTTTCCAGTCTGGATTCATTTGCTATATCCCCTGCCTCTCAGCCTTGTAGAGTGCCAGGATTTCAGGCCTGTAAAAGACCATATCTGACTCCTGTGTCCCTTAAAAAAAGGCTCATCTCCCTTCTTAAATGCTCCTCCCCACAAGTTTAGCAATATGGCATTCAGAATAAACCAGCTTAATAAGCATGAGTTAATTTTGAAGTGATAAAACTATTCAAGGGATATTATGCATAAAACTGGTTAGTAGGTTTGTCTTTGAACTTAGATGTTTTATGTCATGATCAGAACTTACCATGGCAACTAATAGGATTGAGGCAGGAGCACACTTATTTGCTATACACTAATTATACCAGGGTTACTCAACACTCATGGATTCATTTGGAAAATGTAAAATGGATCTCATTTTCTGTGCAATCATTTATATAATTTTGAAGCTTGTTGATAAATAAGGAAATAAATAACAAAACAAAAAAAAATCCCCGAACAACCTTTAGCTGTTTTGTCTTGAGGATCAGGTATCCTGGCTGTAGGGTAATATCAGAGGCTAAATAATCAGTATAGGAGTATAGGTTGCTGATACCTTTGGACTTGGATTTGTTACTTATCTCTTATTGGAACTTCTTCATGTCTTAAGTTTCTGAACTCTAAGCTTCTCTGGAAAGCTTTCCAGCAAAAATCTTTCTCAGGTTTATCCCCTCCTTTCTGTATATACAAAGCTGGATTTCTTCACTGTGTAGCCTTTTCCATCTACATTCTCTTAAAATAGATTATTTTAAAAATTTTGTTTTTTTTGTTTTGTTTTGTTTTGTTTTTTTTGAGACAGGGTCTCTGTATGCAGTTCAGGCAGGCCTTGGACTCACGGTGATCCTCCTCCCTCAGCCTCTGGAGAGTGCTGGGGTTACAGAAATGCGCTACCATGCCCAGTTTAAAATTTATTATTTACTGATTTGTATGCCATGTGCCTTCCTCCACTCTCATCTTTGGATGTTGTATTAATCGTCTAAATTTCCTATTTGGATTTTTATTAATCTAAATTCCTTACTATTAGGACAAATTTATCCTGAGAAAAAGGTGCATTTGTGTTGTTAGTGTGCTACATTGACTTGGAGCTGAAGCTGAAAATGCATTGTTGAGCTTCAAAAGAAATAGAACAATGGATGGGACTTTATTAAATTACTTTTTTACACAGATACAATAGATATTTGATGAAACTGTCTTTTCCTTCATTTGCTCCCTGGAATTGAACCCAAGACCTCACACATACTCAGTATACTGTGTACCACTGAGCTACATATCTAGTCCTAAATTAAGTCTTTCTTACTCAAAACTTAGGATGTCTCTCCATCTTTTGTGTCATTCAGTAACAATAGTCCTTCATTAGGTGTTAGAAATTTCACATTTTCTCAGTGTTTTGTCAGTGTGATTATATGTACATAGAGATATTTTGTGCCATCTTTTATAGTCGCTATCTTCTGTTTTAAAAATTTTTACTTGCTGTGCTGGGGATTTAGCTCACTAGCACAATGCCTTCCTTGCAAGCACAGGTTCTTAGTTTGATCCTCAATACTCTACCATTTTGCACATGCTTAGTTTGCTTGTTTCCTCCTTAGTTGAGCTTGGATTCCACACCTGGCTGATTAAGATCTTTGTGTGCTTTTTGCATGTGACATTTTGATGGTAAATTAAATAACAAGTGTTATGCTATATGAACCAGTATTTTGTTTTCACACACACACACACACACACACACACACACACACATTATATTTGTAACAGTAATTGTGTTTGTATGTCTTCTGGGAGACTAATAGTCCTATTTTAAGAATGAGACATTTACATTTTAATTTTTCACCAGAATGACTATATGCTTCTGTAGTTTGCATATTACACAACTTTTGAACAACATTTGCAGCTGTTTATATCATATTCTTTTATGTGGTGCTTTCTGTGCTTGTGCACATTATGGGCTGTAAACATACAGTAGTCTCTTTTTTAAGGTTTTTTTTTTTAAACCTTTTTTAGTTTAGGCTGGCCTTATACTTGTCGTCTCAGCTTCCTGAGTGCTGGGGTTACAGATATATGCTATCATGCCACCTTATATACTAGTCTTGAACCCCTTCTTGAAGGCAGGACCTTATACTGTACCTTCCTTTCCATGGCTAATGCACAGTAGTTTGTTATTGACACTGGTATTATTTTTTTTTTAGCTCTTAGCTTTGGCTTCCATATGATAGATGTTAGAACACTTGTGTGCGAGAGCACAGGTGACTGCCTCTTCTCTCAGCATAAAGTGTCCCTGAACCAAGTCATTTTATAATATGATAGATTGTATATTAATTTTCTGTTGCTGCTGTAATATTCACTACAAACTTGGTAGCCGAGAGCACCATACATCCTATTCTTTTACTGTTTTGGGGAAGGAAATTTAAAATTAATTTTACCAGGCTAATGCCCATGTCTCGGCAGGTCTGATTCTGTTGCAGGCTCTGGGGGAGGATCCATTTTCTCATATCTTTTCAACTTTTAAAAGTGTTCAGCTTTTCTGTAAGGTCTGCTGTTATCTTCAGAGTATATTGTTGCAGTTTCTGCTTCTATTTTCAATTGCCTTCTGCTTATCTGTAGTTTAATCTACATTTGTCTTCCTTTTATTCCCTAGTATTGAAGATTGCAGGCTTTTACCCCGAACTGTATCTTCAACCCTTTTTAGGAAATTTAAAAATTTCAAGACAGGGTCTTTCTAAGTTGTTAAATCACCCAGGCTAGTCTCAAACTTGGTGACCCTCCTGCCTCAGCCTCCCAGCATGCTGGGATTATAGATGTGCTCCAACATGCCCAACATGCCCAGCTTTGCCTACTTTTTTTTTTTTTTTTTTTTTTTTTGTACTGGGGATCGAACTTGGGTCCTTGTACTAGTGAGGCAGGAAGGTCTCAGAACCACTGAGCTAAATCCTTGGCCCTCGGCTTACTTCTTATAGGGCCATTTGAATACATTTAGGGCCTGCTAGACAATCCAGAAATATTTCTCACCTGAAAATCCTTAATTAAGCAGCCAGGTGTGGTGGTAAATGCCTTTTAATCCTAGCACTCAGGAGAGTAAGGCAGGAGGATGGCAAGTTCCAGGCCAGCCTGGGCTACAGTGAGACACTCTCTCCCCTGAAAAGTCCTCTTTGTTGTGTAAAGTAACACAGGTTTTGAAGATTTAAGATTTCTTTTGGGAGAATTATTCACCTACATATAGTAAAACAGTGTTTGGGGGTGCTGTATGAATACTTGTTTTCTCTTCCTAAGTAGGGTATCATCCCCCATCCCATCCAGAAGAATAACTCATCGACTCATTTTACTCAGCTCTCCATGCTCAGTTTTGGGTCATGTCTGTGACATAAATGGTTTCCATATGGGCATCAACCCCCCCCCCCCGATTATTATTTAATGTTGCCATTTTGTGTTGTAGTTGGTGTAATACGATGCCCAGTATGCCGCCAAGAATGCAGACAGATAGACCTTGTGGATAATTATTTTGTGAAAGACACATCTGAAGCCCCTAGCAGTTCTGATGAAAAATCAGAACAGGTATGCCTCTCAATTTTTCTTTATATTTTTCTCTTGGTATCAAAATGTCAATTATAAGGAAAAAAATGTGTGGGTAGTTATAGGGTTTCATTTTATCTTTCAAATTGAAAATAAAGGTTAGCTTTTTTCTACACCTTTAAACTTGATTAATGAAACTAAAATCATCACTTAAAAATTTGGGGCTGGGGATTTAGCTCAGTGGTGCTTGCCCGCCTGCATGGCAAGTGCAAGGTCCCGAGTTAGATCCCTGGTACCAAAAAAAAAAAGTACAATCTTGCATAGACTTTATGTTCTGAATTGAACCCGGATCCTTTGAGTTTGCGAGGCAGGCAGCAGAACCACTGAGCTAAATCCCTGGCTCTAGAAAAAGATTTATTTGAAGATAAATAAAGTTTATTCAAAATAAGATTATTCTATTTATAGTGAATCTGCTAGTATGTTTGACAGCTAATTAGAATGTTCTCACCATTTTATTTTGAGAATCTCTTATTTGGTAAATTTAATGTAGATTAGTATTTATTTCTTCTTTTAGGTATGTACTAGTTGTGAAGACAATGCTAGTGCAGTTGGCTTTTGTGTAGAATGTGGAGAGTGGCTATGTAAGACTTGTATCGAAGCACATCAAAGAGTAAAATTCACTAAAGATCACTTGATCAGGAAGAAAGAAGATGTCTCAGGTAAGATACATGTAGTTTTAATGATTATAATTAACCTTCCTCTTCTGATCCCATAACACTGTGCATACTGGCATCAATTAAAATTTAGAAAGATTTTTTAAAAATTTAGAAAATTAGTAAAAGTTTTATTATGTTTAGTTGAAAAAAGTGTTTGTTTTATTTTGCTACAGAGTCTGTTGGAGCATCTGGTCAGCGCCCTGTTTTCTGCCCTGTACACAAACAAGAACAATTGAAACTTTTCTGTGAAACATGTGATAGATTAACATGTAGAGACTGTCAGCTATTGGAACACAAAGAACATAGGTACAGAAGTCATAATTGCTTACTGAGAAGCATTATAAAAACTGCTTATGAATTTTGTCTCAGCATTTGAAATCTAAATTTTATGTATTTTATTTCTTGAAGCAGTATGTGTGTTGATAAATTACTTAATGCTTTTCATGTTCATCTCTAATTGTCTTATAAATATTTGTTAAAATGTGTCATTATGTGGGTTTCCTTTGTATGAGTGGAATTATGTTCTTATTTCTTTTGTTCAAATAAGCTTTTACTAATTAATATATTTAGGCTGTAGGTTGTATCTGTAAAGGCAATATGGGTATGGTTAACTTCTCATGAATGTGGCTGATACCCATTTTAACATCAAAACATATATTGATACCAAGTTAGATGTATAATTTGCAGGAAAACTAAGAATTTATAAACAGCTAAGTAAGCATAGTTACTATTACATGACTTTATATTTTAATCACATTTTACCTTGAGAATCAATAGTATTTACTTATGAGTCTGTTTCACCTCAGTACTGAAATTTTTGGTCAGCTATATAATTAAATTCTTCATTTAGTAAATTTCTCTAGCTTTCACAGCATCTGTTTATTACATGTAAAAAAAATATGGTCTGATTTAACTACAATCTGTAGAATTTTTAAAAGTGTTTTCTAATAACAGTTTTTCTGGATGGATAGAAATAAATTCCATGAGTATTGTCAAGAAACTTTAGGAAGCCAGGCAATGGTGGCACATCTGTATGTAATCAGCACTTGGAAGGCTGATACAGGACAATTTCCGAGAGTTCAAGGCCAGCCTGGGCTACATAGTGAATTCAAGACCAGGTTAAATTACATAGTGAGTCCTTGTCTCACCTCTGTCCCTCAAAAGCAAAAACAAAACAAAAAGAAAATCAAGTATAGGATAAGTTGTATTTTAAATTCCCCTCCCTCCTCTCTCTGCTCCTTCTTTTGGCCATACTGGGAATCTAACCTAGGGCCTTCACACTAAGTTATGCCTCCACTCTTTTATTGGGGGTGGGGGTTGGGCAAGGTCTTCCTGTGAGGTTTGGATTGGCCTCAAGCTCACTGTGTAGCCCATGCTGGCCTCAAACTCAATGGCAGTCCTCCTGCCTCAGCTTCCTGAATGCTGGGATTACAGGCATGCACCGTGTTGCCTGGTACATTTATTCTTTTCTTTTTCAGTTTGAGAAAAAGTCTCACTAAGTTGTCTGAGCTGGCCTTGAACATGCAGTGATCCTCAAAATTTTAACAAAAGGGCTGGGGATGTAGCTCGGTGCAAAGGCTTTGGATTCAATCCTCCATTCTGCCCCTGCATCCCCACTCCCAAATCCAGAGTTTTAGGAACTATGTTCCAGGAATTAAGACAAAGAAATATAGTCATGCTCCAAACAACAGTTGAATGTATACTACATATATAGGTGGCCCTATTACATTACCCTAGCCTCATTAGTTTGGGCATGAATACTTACTCTCTGATGTTTGCACAATGACAGAATTGCCTAATAACTCAGTTCTCAGAAACTGTCCCTTTTATTTTTATTCTTTTTTTTTTTAGGCAGGGTGTTATGTGGTTCAGGCTGGCCTTGAACTCACTGTGTAGGCCAGGCTGGCCTCAAACTCCTGGCAATCCTCCTGCCTGAGCCTCCTGAGTGCTGGAACTACAGGCATATACCATTATGCCTGGCCAACTTATCCCTTTCTTCTTCCTCTTCCTTTTTCTTTTCTTTCTTTATTTTTTTTTTTTTTTTTTTTTTTTTGGTATCAGGGATCGAACTTGGGACCTTTTGCTTATGAAGCAGGCAGTAGAACCACTGAGCTAAATCCCTGACCCAACCTATCCCTTTCTTAAAGGATGCATGATCATACTCTGTATTACAGTATCACACTCCACTTTTTTTTTTTTGTTCATATTTCCACCATAATTTTTCTGGATGTACTATTGTCAAACTTATGTCATTGTATTAAAAAAAAACCCGAGGTTTCCTTTACTATAACAGATTTATAATTGATCTCTACTTTAAGGTTTACTGTCAAATTCATTTTTTTCATGTTGCTGCCAGTATTACTTTGAAGTGTAGTTGTTCCCAGAAAACAATAATAAAGCACTTTGCAGAGGTCTCCTTATGGTTAGAGTATTAAGTTTTTTTTTCAGTATGGCATATATTACTGAATCATTTACTTCCTCCCTCCCCTCCTTTCTTCCCTGCCATATACTATGGGGGCTGAACCCAGGATCTCACGAATCTAGGCATATGTTCTTCATCCCCACCCCATCGCCTCCCTTAATTTCATTTGAGGCAGGGTCTGCCTAAGCTCCCCAGGCTGGCCTTACACTTGGAATCCTGCTGCCTCAGCCTCTTGAGTAGTGGGGTTCCAGGTGTGTACCAAGACACCTTGTTGCCAAATCTCAGCAGCATCTTTCTTTTCATCTTCTGTTCACAGATCATCTTCACTTCTGACACCATCTGCAGAGTTCAGTGAAAACCCATAAATAGCATGCTTTATGTCCTTCAAGTAGAGTTGTGGCCTTCCAAGGAGGATGCTGACCATTCATTCGCCTTGGAACTTCTGTCCATAAATCAAATGATGCTTTGTTGATTATTATAATAGAGAATGTGCATAGGGTAGCATCAGTGTAATCATAGGCTCCAGGGGCTCCTCATGTGGTTCCAAAGATGCCGTTGTGTGGGGGATACTACTTACACGTAGTTTCTATCTCTGAATTCTGGTTGCACATTCCTGTATAAGTCATTTCTGTTGTTTTGTTTTGTTTTCTCTTCAGGTTAAAATATGGAGGGCCCAGGGGTCTCTTGTATTCCTTCAACAGAGGGCCCTGAGTGACTAGCATATCTTGGCTTTATTCTCTCAGACACAAGCACAACCCATTAGAGTTATACAGGATTCATCTGTCTCCCACCCTCCATGGTACTTGTCCGGGTACACAACAGAATCTCAGCTGTTTTTACTTTCTCCTATAGTATGTCACCACATTTGCATGATCCTTTTCTTAGGGCTCATCAAGTGGGCCAATTCGGCCTCAGTCTTCCTAACTCATCTCCCACTGTATATGAAAGGTATTCTGAATCCTTCCATATCTCAAGTGCCTTTTTGCTGCCTCACATTTCATTGTCAGAAATAATTTTCTTTCCAAGTTTTGAAGACATTGACCCCTACTTTTATAGTTTCAGTTTCAGCTTCTGAGAAATTTGATTTGATCTTAAGAGCTTGAGCCTTCTGGATTGGTGCCTTGTTTACTTCTCTTTTTCCTGTGGTTTGTTATTGTGTCTTCTTTCTAAAATTCTTTTTTGTTTGTTTGTTTTGTTTTGTTTGAGACAGAGTCTCACTGTGTAGTTGAGACTGACCCGGAACTCACTATGTAGCCCAGGCTGGTCTTAAACTCACAGCGATTCTCCTGACTCAGCCTCCCTGGCTTCTTTCTAGAACTCTTGAATTTGGTTTTTACAAATTGTCTTCCTTCTGTTGAATTAGTAATTATATATATTTTATTTTAAGAGTAGGAAAATTTATTGAAAGATAGCTTCTGTCTAAGAGAGGCAGAAGGGGGACTGGAAAATAGGTTGCTTTTCTACCCCCCTTTTCAAAGATGTTTTATACAGCAAAGCCATGTGGTGAGGCAGGTACAAAGTAGGACAAAACTATAAGACCCAGTGGAAATTTACAAGGTGGGGATGAGCTGGGAGAAAACCATGACCAACCAATAAGATTACAAGTACAGTCACCCAGGTAGTACTGATTAAATGGGGATCCAGTGGGGAAACAAATCACGTAGCAAACATAAGAGAAACTGAGCAAAGATTTTCGTTGGAAAATGGCGGGTCAGGGATCTTTCTTGGAAGATTATTGTCCCTCACCCAGGTGATTTAGACTGTCATTCACTGCTATTTGTGGTAGTTTCTCTCCTTTTACAATTCGGGCCTTCAGTGAGTGTGTTTTGATAGTCCTCCATTTTGGTTCCGCCTGGGCTGGCCCTGTCTAACTGCCTAGAAGACACCTAATTAATTTCCCCATCTGCAATATTCCTCCTCTGAATAAGTGCCCCTAACTGCTGTGAAGGGACAAAGGGCAAAGACTACTCTGGCTACTTCTGGCTGAAGAGGGTAGTAGTTGTGATCAGGAGTCAGAGTTACTCTGCAGAGGGTCTGTCTAAAGGGCCTTGATAGGTGCCAGGCACTGTCATCTTGGGTAGCCTTATAGCTTGGAGTCTGGAGGAGACAAAGCCAAAGAAACAGAAAAGAATACATGGGCCAAATTATAAGTTCAGCAGGATTGTGATGAATATACCAACAAGTTTTCCACCAGGGGAAACTAGTAATAGCCTCCCGCAAAAAAGACAAGAAGAAGGTCCAGGGGAGTTCAGAACCCAATATAGAAGTCGTATAATTTAGCAGTTAGGAGCTGTTTACAAGATCTGTCTGGTGGATCCCGGTAAAAGAAGTCCAGCACAATTTTCATTGGTTGCATTTGTATGGCTGCTTGGAGTTTGGTAGCCAGTTTTTATCCACACATTTCACCTTTCTCTGAAGCCATAGACCACTTGTTGGTAAGTCTGTGGTAAGGTGGAGATCCTTCCTAAGCTCATTACGTGAACACAGCTCTCCCTGACTCGCTGTTCCATCTCCACTGCTCATACTCGGGAGGTGACCGATAGCCAGGCCTCCAGGGGGCAGGCGGTGAGACCTTGGGCAAGGGTCCCTGCGGTGCTAGTGCTCTACTTCCTTTCTCTGGTCTCATTTCCCTTTTATAGAGACTCCATATATTTGTTGGCTGGCTGGCTTGTGTATGGATGGATGGATGAAACTGAACCTGTGGCCTTTTTACTGAGCTTGTATTCCCAGCCCTTGTTTGAATTTTTAAGACGGTCTTGCTCTGTCATGTTACTCAGGCTGGGCTTAAAGTTGGAATCCTCCTGTCTCAGCCTCTGTAAGTGCTGGTATTATAGTCATATGCTACCCATACACAGCTTTTATAGGAAATGCTTCTGTGTCCTGG